CCCTCTGGATCCGCCACTGGCAGACTTCAGCGTAACAACTCAAAGTGATCAAAGTAATCAAAGATGGTTGGCGCTAATTGTCCGACGTGGATTACATGAAGGTCACATCACAACCGCTAGAAACTTTTTACATTCAATTGAACATCTCAAAAAATATAAATATAGTCTGACCTGAATTCTATTTACCCTAAGAAAACGGAAGACTCAGAGATGCTCGTAATAGCTCCGCTGTTTTAGCAGAGCCTTGCATTAATAAGGGCACGCATAGTTACGTTAATATCATAGTGAGGTAACAATAGAACTAGGCTTTATTTACATTCTATTAGAAGTCTCTCGACACATATAATCACTATCAAAGTAGTGAATTCATCAACTCCAGTCGGAGGATATGTCTGAATTAGTAAGTAGAGTGTTCCTCTTATTTCACAAAAGGAAATAATCTAATAGAGGTCGACCCAGGGTACACATATATCAAGTATCAAAGCAATTGGCGAAGCGGTTTTCAAGAAGAAGTCGGAAATAGCATGTTTATCAAAAATGAAAAACAAATAATCGCCAGATATATAGAATTGAAGATATCGTCACGAAATGAACAAACCTAACATAGGTCCGCCAAAGGTATCCGCATAGCGAATATTAAGGCAATAAAGTCAATAGCTTTCAAGAAGAACTTTAAAATAAAATTGTTGACGGACGGAATTTGACTAAGGAAGAACCATTAGGAAATCTGGGGGCAATGGAAACAATGCACAACAACAATATCATGGAAAACCTTTCTGCAGGAGTCACTAGCAGAAAAACCCAGGCCACCATAGTCGTATTGTTTCATGTAAGCAGACATGTGGTAACATGTCAGTGCTGTATAGATAACGATTGCGTGAGAATGTCTGTAAGCAATGCAAGGTGTTCGTAACACGTGCGTTATCTTTGTTTTCTTTGCAGATAAGCCACCGTGTTCCACTATGCTGTCTGTCTGCTTATTAATCTCAACACACCCAGGAGGCCTACCTGCCAGTCATTAGACCAGTCGTCTATAGTACAATACTCGTGAAAGTGTTCCGGTTGATTGAATGGGTTGTATGTAGATATATCACCAATCCCCATATGATTTGCCACTCTGAAAATAACAACATTATGTTAATTATAACAGACGTTAGTTGACATAGAGGGCAGGCATTGCCTTAGTTGGTACTGCATTGGTTCCCCTAAGCCCGTGAAGAATCGCGAGGCCTCATAATTAAAGAACGGTGGTTCCATAGCGACGGGTAAAACATCATGTTTACATAAAATGTGAACAGGCGCTGCGTGACGACCACCGTTTTTTTAACGTAACGCGCCTATGATTATGTGTCGCGATGTGCGTACAAACACATGCATATATATATATATATATATATATATATATATATATATCACGGGTAAAGTGATATATTATCAGTAAAATTGAGAGATATCCCGTTTCTATGGCTCACGAGATTAAAATAATCCAACTTACACGTCAACCATAATCCATATATCTCTTGCGTGAGCCGCCGCTATCAAGTCAAAGAAGTCTTGACTTGTTCCCCAATGCCAACTGACTTTATAGAAATCGATAGCAGAGTAACCATGGTAATCTCCTTCGGTGTGTTCTGGGACTGGTGAAATCCAGATGGCATTGAAACCCATGCCTGCATGTAAAGATTCATAAATATTACTGTGAAACATGTCTTTTTAGCAAATTTAGCGAGAGAAATGATTCACTAATTCAAGACGTCGCTAATGACTTTATTATACATTCAAAAGGGCCGCAAAACAACGTCTTTTTTCTCCACACACACACATTGAAAACAACACAAAAAACGTACTGACATGATAGATACACTTTATTGAAAAGTAAATTAACACAACCAAATAAACGTGTACATTGTGGTCATTATTTCAATGAAAATAAATAAATGAAGTGATACTGATATATTATTACGTAAATTAGTAGTACTTAGTATTTTTTGGGTCCCAATATAAAAGGTCAATGTTCTGGATGTAACGCAGCAATGATACCCGCCTTTTCAAATCCCTGTTGAATCAGCTTTTTATCATTTCGAATTACACTTAACAGTTTTTCTTTGTTTTTATGGAGGTGATAACTGTGCATTTATGTTGACACGCGACAGACAAGTATTGTGAAAACATGAAATCAACAATGACAAGAGAGATTCGCTAAATCAACATTTCGCTATTACGTCATTTTGACACAATTCGCTAAAATTGCATGTCGCTTTTTCAACATATTTTACAGTATTTCCAAGCAAAAAGCAGCTTGCTAATAACCATGAACAACCAATTAAATCTACGTTGTTTAATGAGGCGGTAATTATTGTGTGGAACCCGTTCAAATTTCACAAACAGTGTAAGTTACGAGAGTCATACACGTCGCGTGGTACTCATATTCAAGCCGACACGTCACTTAACCATTTATGTTAGGCCTCCAAAATTGAATAACGGTGGTGACCGTGTAAGCTATGATAAAGGCGAGACATAAACTGAAGAAAAACTTGCCAACAAAGCCGACAAGACAACTTGCTGACGCTATAGGATAGAGGGCGCAGTTTTACGTGTGTACTGTCCAGGCTTTCTTGGTGGTAGCACATGACATTACGTAAGTTCTTGACATTTTTGTCGAAAACTAGTTGGGTTTGTCTTTCATGAATCAATGCATAATCATATGAATTACATTTCTGGGATGGAAAGTTATTTGTGAAGATACCGTTTATTTATTTATTTCGAGATGTAGTTTTACTAACCCCACGGGGGGCGCTACTTCCACGTTAAGTGGGTAAAGGTGTGAAGCACACCTCTCGTAAACCATACTCACTTCTAACCCATTTTTTTTAATATTTATATACCCACTTCTAAACACAAGTGTTTTCAGCGAAAAAAAACCCCACCCAGATCACAACTTTCGCAACCAGTGAGCGCATCAGGGCAATGCATTTTATCCAACCTATTCCGGTATTCATTTTGACTTGTGAAAAAATAAATAAATGCTACACACTTTTAAACCAAACCATTGATAAATGACCACCCACTTCTAATCAAAATAGCGTGAATTGACACCCCAGTCTGGCGGCACATACCCGTATTGCTCTTTTATGCAAGTAGCCCAAAGGTGCGAACAACATATTATTTGCCAATGAATTGAGTATATATGAACATGGACGTACTCTCTAGTACGTCCATGATATGAATTAATAGAGACAGACACGTGTTCTATGGGGATTAATATTACAGAAATGTAATGACAGGGGATATGTTTTGCCAATGTATTTACCTATAAGTGAATGTGATTATATTTCAATATAAAAGTCAAATAACATATGTTTATTGTGGCGCCCAAATTGACGCTATGTACCTTGGATATAGTCCAGCTGTTCAATGATTCCTTGAAAGTTGCCATTACAGTATTCAGTGAGATCCCCGCAAGGCATCCAAGACGCTGATCCGGGTGCCGAGAACCTATCAGTCAAAATCTAAAAAAAAAAATATCTGTGAATAATATCGCTTCTTTAACCATATTTGAAAGTGCATCATGGGTACTCGTGACATGACATCTTGTTACAGGTATATGCCAAATATTTAACATAATTTTGACAATATTATCATGATTTATATTTCAGCTTAATAGTGGTTGCCATGGCATCTACTGATAGGGCTTAAATGACGAGACCAGTTGGCTTAATAGTGGTTGCCATGACATCTACTGATAAAG